GAAAATGTATGGTTGAACCGAGTATAAATAGGAGCCAAGACAGCATGAAAAACAGATCAGGCATTCTGCCTCGCTTGAAGCAATCTGCCTGATCTCATTTATTTTATTTTTATAATTTATTTATTTTATTATATAGAGTTATATAGAGTTATATAGAGTTATATAGAGTTATATAGAGTTTGTATGTTGCCTGTGGTTTGTGTGTTTGTATGTTATATTTTTTTTATATTTTAGGTGGGTTCTTTAGCGGTTGCTCATACATACATACATACATCATGTTTGTTTGTGTGGTAGTATTTTTGTTCTGTTTTACTCTTTTTTCTCTTTCTCCATGAGTCTTGAGTTAAGTTAATTAAACATAGGTAGGTGAGATTGAGATTAATTTATTATATAGGTAGGCTAGGGCATAAGGTAATTTAGTTACATAGGTAGGTTAGGGACTTCTTTTCTCTTACTCTACTTGGTGGTGTGTTTTTCGTTTTGTGTTTTTTTTGTTTTGTTTTACACCATACATTCAACAGGTACGCGGTGGTTCCTGGTTTTAGTTGGATTTTTATTGATTGAATGTGGTAGTATGCATGGTTATATAGAGTTATATAGAGTTATATAGAGTTATATAGAGTTATATAGAGTTATATAGAGTTATATAGAGTTATATAGAGTTATATAGAGTTATATAGAGTTATATAGAGTTATATAGAGTTATATAGAGTTATATAGAGTTATATAGAGCATAAATCCTATATAGATACCTTTCTTTTAGGTTCTTTTCTTTGCCGACCGGTCGGCTTCTTTTCGTTTCTCTTTTTTAATTTTAATTGATTAAATAAATAAGATTTGTTCATTCAGGTTTTTTCAGGTTCATTCATTCAGGTTGAAGCTTCCAGAGGAGTTCATCGTGGACGATCAGAATGGTTGTGATGTCACGCTACGTTCGTTCATTCATTGGCAAAGAATGCACGCCTGACGGGTACGTTTTACGGTTTCTTTGCGGTTCCTTTCTATGCCAGTTGGCTGGCTTTTTCTAACTGCGGGTTTCACCGCGGCTCGTTTTTCAATTTTCATTTATATTAATAATAAATAAAAAGTTTTTTTCATTATTCATTTTCATCCGGTTGAAGCTTCCAGAGGAGCTCATCATGGAAGATGTCAGGGCTACGTTGTTCATTCAGTGGCAAAAAATACACGCCTGGCTGGGATACGGTTTATTCTTTTTTCTCTGTAATTTAAAAATAAAGAGGAATTGAAAAACGCAAAAACATACACACACAATTACATTAAATAGCTATATAGGTAGGTTAAAAAGGCGTAATTTTAATTGTAGGTAGGGATAGATAGGAAGCACCAACACTAATGTAGTTGAAAACGTAGGCGCGTAAGTTTATCGGTTCTATTTTTTTTTTGCACCCACAATACACGCATCAGCGTATTACACACACACACACACACACACAATTGCATACATAAACACATATGTTAGTATTTGAGCGTAATTTTATTTTCATTACACATTCTAATTTATTATTACTAAGGTTGAGAGTAATTTAATTTCATAGGTAGTTAAGGGCAATAATGTAATTCTAGGAACAATCTTGTAATGTAAATTAAAACGCTGTAAGTGTATCGATAGGTAGGTTAATTATTAGTTTTACATTATTATTATTATGTTGGAGCCCAAGGCATTACGTAGGTGGTGGGGTGGGTGCCGAAAGGCCAATGAATTGGGCTCTTGAGTTTTGTAATATTAGGTAAGCTATGGCCGTAATGTAATGAATAGGTAAGTTAAGGCTACGTTGTAACACATACTCATTAATAGATTTAGGGTTTAAGTTTTATATTATTATTACTAAGTTGGAACCCAAGGCATTACGTAGGTGGTGGGGTGGGTGCCGAAAGGCCAATGAATTGGGCTCTTGAGTTTTGTAACTTTAGGTAAGCTAGGGCTTAATTGTAATGAATAGGTAAGTTGAGGGTACGATAGCCGATAGACTCTGAATTTCAAAGTCTCTTGTCAGAGGTAAGCCTTGGTGGCCAGTGGTGAACCGGCAATGGTTTACTATCCGGACGGCAATGGTTTACTATCTGCACGGTAATGATTTACTATGCGGCATGGCCATAGTCTACTACCCGCACGGCTTCCGGACGGCAAATGGTTTACTATCCGCACAGCAATAGTCTACTATCCGCACGGCAATGGTTTACTACCCGGTGCCCTGGCTGTCGGTGAGCCTCTGTGCAAGGAGGGAGAATGAAGGAGGGCTTTCGACTATCGTACCATTAACAATTTAATATTGATTAGTTAAGGTAATTAAATAGGTAGATAGGATTATTTTTATTAAGCAATTTGAGATGCAAGCACCGCTACGCTTTCTGATGAGAATATTCTTTCTATCTTTCTCCATCCCACGGGCTGTGTTTCAACAACAATCTCGAGGAGGACTGGCACCAGTTTTGGAGGACAACGTAGGAACCGGAAGGCATTCATCATTCTGTCTTTGTCGAATGGACGACGGTAAGTTATTTTACATTTTACTCTATTATTTTAAGATATTATCTATTTGCCATTATTTTTACTTAATAATTTTTTGCTTCTAAAATTCTAACATTCATTTACTACTACGCTAATAAAAAAAAATTGTCTACAGGATGATGAGAGGTGGGCAGTGGTGGGAGTCAGCACGTTTCAGATGGTGGTCTCGTGATGATTTACGTATGATGATGGTGGTGTAGGAAGAATCAGCGTGTTGGCTGTTCGACTGACACTCAGAAGTTCGGATGAAATCATGTGTGCCGACCAGATGATGGTGGTCGGTGCAATGGATTACAGTAACGACGATTTTTGAAATAAGGTTTAGTTTCGTTTATTTTTATTTTTCTCGTTCATTTATTTTTTCACTCAATCTTTCACTCAATCTTTCAAATTATTCTTCCATTAATTGACGTTAATTCATTCTATTCATTCATTCATTCTTTTAACTAATTATTTAATCATTCAGTTAATCATTTATTCGTTCGTTCCTTTGTTCCTTGATTTACTACTAAGGTAATAAAAAAACTTGTCTACAGAATGATGAGAGGTGGGCTGTGGTGGGCGTCAGCACGTTTCAGATGGTGGTCTCATGATGATCGTTCCGATGACAATTTGGAGATAATATTAAAGGTAAATTTTTTTATGTCCCATCGTACCATTGAAAGTACTTGAATTTAAACAAAGGATTGAGTGTCATCTCGATAAGATAAGTTTTCCTATTTTTCTCAATGGCCTGCTTTTTATTTCAAAGAATTAATTTTTTTTCAATTTAGTGTTTTTCAGTAACCGGTCAAATTCACTATTCCATCGGTGCGTGTCAGATGAAATGCAATGCAGGTTCGTCAGTAGCGAGTCAAGAAGTTTCTGGAGAGTACACGCGCGCACATTCACACACACACACACACATCAATACAACACACACATATACAACATCTATTCATTCGGTGTCGTTGTTATTTTTCTCTTCAACTTTCTATTTTCTTTACCGGACTTAATTTAATTCATAGGTAAGTTAGGGAATGAGATGAGTTGAACAATCTAGGCTAGGGCTAGGGTTTAACATTAGTTAAAAAGTTTTAAATAAAATAAAAACGCTAAAATATGTAAAATAAAATGCCTGAAACATGTAAAATTCCTAAAACGTAGAAACATAAATTTGTAGGTAGGTAGGTGAGTTGAGTTAATCATTATAGGTAAGCTAGGGCCCTGAGAGTAATTTAATTGTAGGTAGGTGGCTGACTACTATTCATGCGACTTCTTACTAATTTTGTGTAGTGTGTTTGTTTTCGCTTCACAGAACCATACCAACGAAACACTATACATATATTTTTTTTTCGTCGTCGCCTTAAACTTTACCTTTTTGAACAATCTTTTTAATAATGTCTATTTATTTATTTGTAAAATGTTGACTGATTTCTAGTTTTTTTTTATTTTGGTTATACTATTTTTGGATATTTCTTGATTTACTTTGTATATATGCATGTATAAATAATTTCTGTTTGGTATGTTGATTTAGTCATTATGATGTGCTGTGAACTGTTTTTACTAAATGTTCATGCTACGTGAATCATCCCCGAGAACTACTGAGGGTTGTTAAATTTGTTTGATTAAAATTCGAAGTTTTTTTAAAAATTTACTTTTTAAAATTTTAATTTTTCGCCATTTTATGATATCAAATAAAAGCAACTGTTGTGTTTTTTGTTTTTTATTAAAATTTGTAAACTGTTTCTAGATATGAACGGTTGAATGTTTGTTTGCGCTTCATCAAATATCTTTATTCGATTTACCATAATTCTATCGATTGTTTGGTTCATTCAATTTGGTTGATTAGTTGGTCGATTGATTGATTGAATGAATAAATGAATGAATGAATGAATGAATGATTGATTGATTGATTGATTGATTGATTGATTGATTGATTGATTGATTGTTCGAATTTATCGACTGAAACCAATTCTATACAGCCTATTTTGGTTTATATTTCAAATCAGTATTCACGGTATTTTGATGATTTAAAAAAAACTTGTATTACAAAAAATAAAAAATAATAATATTAATAAGCTATATTCCTTTAAAAAAAAACTAGGTCAATTTGAAAGCATGTGGTTGGTCAAAATTCTTTGGGTCAGATTCAAAATCGAGGCCCGTGATTGGCTGGATTCAAATACGTCATATTCAAAAAATGAAGCAAACGATTTGTTAAATCGAGTTTTGTCATTATTAAAATCGAGGCTCATGATTGGTCGGATTCAATTACGTCATCTTTAAAATGGAGGCCTGTGATTGGTCTGAATTAATGACGTCATACTCGTGGTGCCATATTTGTTTGGCGGCAATGCCGATTATCTCCAATACTGATGCGGCTAACATTAATATCTCTGAAAAAGTTATACAACAAGTTGTATTTCTCAAAAAGTTATAATTATAATTATTTGTAATTTTAATTGTAATAATTTCAATAATAATGACATTAATAGAACGCTGTCAAGGACTTACCTAAATTGGATTTAAGTTGATTGATCGCTTTAAGTTCCGCCTTCTCGCTTAAGCCGGCATTCAATATAAATTTTTCAAGGTCAGCCCTTACCGACCCCATCATGGGCCCTCCCACTTTTACGAAACTATCATTGCATAAAGATTTTAAGAGATTATCATTTTTATTTTTTGTCGCTACTGCTGCTGACGATGTTTGTTGTGGCTGTGATGATGATGATGGTTGTGGTGGCTGTGGTTGTTGCGGTGGTTGCGGTGGTTGCGGCAGTGATGTTGGCGATAGTGGACGAGGAGACGAAAGTGATGACAATGTTGAAAAGTAAGGTGAGGTGGGCTGAGATGTTACGGCATCTTCAACCATCTTGTTATTATTATTATTATTTGTAGTAGTGGTGGTAGCAGCAGTAGCAGCAGCAATTGAAATATCAATACTATTATCATAAGCGTCGTCGTATCCTTCGTAATCTTCATCGTCGTCGTCGTCATCATCGTCATCATCATCGAGAACATCAATATCAAGAACTACAAGTTTTTTGTAGTTGTACATTTTGTTGTTTTCCTGCTGCGTGACCTTTGACCTTACCCTGCTAGTCAGGCCACCGATCGCGTCAGCCTCAACTTCAACTACGTCATCGTCGTCGTCGTCTATGAATTTTTCAACTTTGTCGTATGAGAGAGATTTTTCTGGCGACGTTTGCAGCTGTTGTTGCTGATGTTGACGTTTTAGCTGCTGGTGTAGTTGCTGCTGCTGCTGCTGTTGTGTCGTTTTACCGGAAATAGATTTCAACAAGCGCACCAGAGATGGCGTCCTCTCAATCAACTGACTCAGTTCGGTGTTGACTTTGTTGAATGTTTTGATCAGATTTTGTAGTGTTTTATTTCTTTGTTGTGTTCTATATTTGCGAACTTTATTATCTATGTCATTTGCTGTTGTTGATGTTGTTGTTGTTGAAATATTTGATTGTTGTTGTTGTTGTTGTTGCGGTTGTTGTTGCGGTTGTTGTTGCGGTTGTTGCTGTGGTTGTTGCGGTTGTTGTTGTGGTTGTTGTTGTATTTTATCAACGACTTGATAGCAATACTCGGTGATTTTTATAACTCTGTGACACTTGGCCTCTTCTATATAACAAAAAAAAAAAATTAGAAACAATTGAAAAAGAACAGTTACATACATACAAACATACATACATACATACATACATACATACATACATACATACATACATACATACATACATACATACACACAAACAAACAAACAAACATACATATATACATACACACAAACAAACATACATACATACATACATACATACATACAAACAAACATACATACAAACATATACACACACAAACATACAAACCTATCAACATTATAAAGTCTTCCAGAGCTTCCTTGTAAGTTTTAACGAATTTCACAATCCTTTTACCCTTTTCATCTTTCATTCTGTCTTTCCTACTCCAAAATGATAGCATCTTTTGCCCGATATTACCGCCAAAATTATTATTATTATTATTATTCTTACAATCATCATCATCATCATCAGCTTTATCAACGTCATCATCATCAGCAATATCGTTGTCAGCACCAGTACCACCATCATCATTACGACTGCACACCTTATTATTATTTTTATTTTTATTATTATTATAATTATTATTATTATTTTTGAATGACGTCACTCTGTCCAGTATCCTGTCCCATCTCTCTAGGTGATCGTTGTACAAGGCCGCGTACTCCTGATGATGATGAAGATTGTTTTGTGATTATTATTATTATTATTATTATTATTATTATTGCTATTATTATTACAATCACAATGACAGTTATTATAAAAGGCCATCAATACGTGTAGAGGTTTTGTGAGTATTGAAAGAAAATATTGTACACATATCAAACTACTACTACTGCTGCTGCTGCTGCTGCTGCTTCAACTACTGCTACTACTACTACTAAATAATAATAATAATTATAATAATAATAATAATGATAAGAAAAAGACCACATGTACGTACATTAAGTTTTTCATCAATGTGAGAGATTCCGACACTTGTCAGGTTTATTCTGACGTCATCGCTTCTAGTAGTGACGTCATTAATTTCTGGAGATGATGATGATGATGAGATGATGATGACGGTGATGACGGGCATGATAATGACGTTGTAGCGTTGTTACTGCAGATAGTGACAACAACGACAACAACAACAACAACGACAACTACAGCAATAACTACAACTACAACAACTACAACAACAACGACGACGACAACAACAAAAACAACAACAAGTACTACAGCAACAACAAAAACCTTTTAGCAAGCATTTTTTATAGTGGAGAAACTTCTTCTTCATCATTATGACGTCGTCGTCATCGTTATCAAAACTTCCGTCACTCAATCCAACTTTGGCTTTCAACAGAGGTTCAAACTCATCCTGATAATGATGATGAAAACGACGATGATGATGATGGCGATGATATTGATCATCATCATGATATTGATCATCATCATCATCATCATCATCATCATCACGACAATCACCACCATTGTCATTGTCAGTTGCACAACGGTTATTATTCTAACCATAATTTTTTTCATCAACACCATCATTATCATCATCATCCTCATCATCAACATCACAATTATCATTATCATCATCAACAACATCACAATCACAATCA